AATCAGAGGCAAAGGGAGGGGCAGGGGCAAGAGGGGGGAGGAGAGGGGGCAGAGGAGAGGGCCCCGAGCTGGCGGGAACGAAGGCAAACAAGCAGAGGGAAGAGCCGAACAAAGGGGCTGGGGTGCACACACTGATTTACACTGTAAGCTCCTAGGGGCAGGGACTGGCTTTTAGTTGTGCATTTATACAGCACCTTGCACAGCGGGGCCTGAGCCATAACTGGAGAGCCCCAGGTGCTACCTGGATTCAATTAAATAATACACATTTACACAATGGCTGCTGCAAAAGGAAAAGCTCCAGCCAGGCACGCACCAGCCCAGGGCAGGAGGAAACACTCACACGCGCCTGGAGCTTTAAAAAAAAAACTACAACTCCCAGAAGGCCGTCTAGCCAAGGAACACCCCTCCCTGCTCGCAAAGCCCCCTGGGAGTTGTAGTTTGTTGGTGAGCCGACGGGGTCGTTCCCCGGTGCAACACTTTATATTTTCAAAGTGCTAATTAAACACTGAATATATTCCTACCAATACAGTAAAAATGAATTTTTACTGCATGACATGCAGCCATCTCTCTTAAGTTTTACGTTTTGTAGTCCTCCCAACCACAAGCAGAGCTCAAGACCAGTTAGAATAACTGCATGCTGTATGGTGGGCATGGCTAATTTGGGGATCATCACCCCACAATGCAGGATTTTTGTAGTTAACTGGGACAGGTGACTGCTAACTTATTTGTGTGAGGAACTATATATAAGTTTGCATGCTCAACCATAGTTCTTAGCAAGGACTGAACCCAGAACTTACAGCACCAGAGAGAGCGCTGAACTAAATCCTTCAGATATAAAGGTAGAAATACATTGGACTGCTGACAGGCCCAGCCTTGAGTAGATATGACTTTACTCAGTAGGCTAGCATCTCACATTAGCACTGTGCTTGAAAGAACAACCCAGTTCTGATCTTCTGAAGACACTGCTTATTTTAGTACTGATACTATATGAATAGCAATATATTCCACGACACTTAGTACAATTAACCACATATTTGTAGCTCACCTGTTTAGTTCATGGACCATGGAAGTTTCTCTATGGCCCCTCATTACCATCTGTTGTTCTTTTAGTTGTTTGGCAACCTGTATTGAGCCAAGAAATTCAATAAAGAAATTTAGTTTCACTTTTTTAGGTTAATTTCACAGCTACCTGGAATTAAAAGCATGGTATTTCTGTGGTTACCTCACAGGCCCTCCCCAAGAAATGGGGGGGGGGAGAGAAAGAAGGGTGTTTATAAGAGCGGGGGCTTGCAGAGGGATGCACCCCCGTCCCCCGAAAAACACCCCGACGAGGGATTCACTCCCGTCCCTTGAAAAACACCCCGACGAGGGATTCACTCCCATTGTTCCCCTGATGGAAAATCTGCTGGAGAGAGCCAGGGAGCTGCCTGATGAAAGGCTGCCCTGCTGCAGACGTCTGAGCTCTCTGGCTGGCCATTCCAGTTGACTATACCAGCCGTGAAATTACAGTGCAGGCCACAGGACTAAGTAGGAGGCTTCCAGCCACCCCTGCATTGGTGCCATTTGATGTGGCAATCTTTTCCTCCTGCCTAGCTTGTCTCTTCTGTATCCATTTTCCTTCCCTCCCTCTCCGTTTTCTCTCTCACGTCTGTATCTGAGGCGCTTTTATCCGGATCTATTTTTATTTTAGATGAGGGCATACTAGCATCATTACCAATTCCCCCTCATGCGGTAGCTCCAGCTAAAAGCATACAGCTTTGACAACCGAGGCAAATGCATCTTTAAAGAGAAGCTCTAGACAGCAAGGTTGTTTAAAATACCACGGACGTTGAGCGTGTTCTCTGCCACCAGGGGATTTGCAGTGAGTGGCAATTGAAGAGGGAAAACAAGTTTGATTGGCTCCATAATTAAGTTTTGGTTTAAAAAAAGAGGTGCTTTTACCAAAAAAATCCAAGACTAATGAAAACATGTCCCTGAAACTTTTAATCATGTAATAATAACGGAATTCTTGCTTTTTCAAACACTGCAGTCCATGGCCGTCTTCACTGGTCCCTGGTCTCTCTGGATGCATTCTCTGCACCTTTTTATTTAGATTTAAGTGTTTTAGTCCCTAGATTGAGATTTGGGGCCCTGTTGTGCTAGGTGCTGTACAAACATCTAGTAAATGACAGCTACTGTCCTGAAAAGCATGCAGTTACATGAGCTAACACGAAGCCAGCTGCCAGTGGACAGGTACCTGAAAGAAAGCTTTATCTCTTGTTAGTTCTAAATGTCCCACAGCCACCATCCTCTGGCCACGGGCTGTCAACCAAGAGATCCAATTCACCTTCTCTGTCTGTATAACCCATTTTAGGCTTTGAAAACCAGCAGTTTGGTTACAAATGGCCTCCCCTCCCCACCTTGTCCTTTGAAAACCAGCAGTTTGGTTACAAATGGCCCTCCCCACCTTGTTGTTCAACCTTCGGTTGTACCAAAACAAGCTCCACCTTGATTTGCCGACACTTTAGCCATCCTCCACGGAGCTTTTTTTGATCACACAACCCTTCATAAAACCCTAGGCAGGAGGCATGCTGGTGCTAGATGTCCCACCAATTCAATGTCACCTTATTCTGACTTCTTTCCAAATCCCATTCTCCTCTTTTGCCCCTTCTTTTTGATTCCTCTCAAGTCACTCTCTGAATTCACTCTAGGATTTCTAACTGTCCTTTATACAGTACTAGGTGTTCTACATTGCGCTATTTCAGAAGACCCTGCGATCACTCCCTTCTTTCCATTTGCCTTGAGTCTGGATAGTTGAACATCAGTTTGCCCCCTTCCTTGTTTTGTTTTTGTTTTTTTTCTCCACAGTATGACTGTGACCAGGTAATATTTCAGTCACCCACCTAACCATTATCCATGTAATGCTTTGCTAAGTAACAACCATTTGCTGTTACTATTGTGTAGGCCTGTCTTCAGGGTAACTTAGTTGCATGGATAATCTAGTTTTGAGCTGAAACTTGCCACAAAACCTTTTAATCTCTTAAACAGAGAATCTGGGCTTGTAATCTGACGTTACAAGGATTGCCCCTTTATCAGCTCTACCTCTGTACCTTTTCCTAGCTTTCTGCTGCAGCAGCCAAATGGCCTCATCAAATATTTAAAAGGCTGTGCAGATCCTTGTCTTGCTTTGTTCGCTTTAAAAGACAGCTTTTGCTAATTAGTTGTGAAACCAGCTCCCTACGGATGGTGTTTTCAGGGCCGGGAGCCTGTCCTTTGGGGAGAACAAAATTCCATTCTACACTCACCGTGGTTTCACGTAGTGCCCTGTGATTGAGTAAAATGGAAAATGGATGGACCCACCCCAGTGAGCTAGCGGTTGGCAGCTTGATCTCCATTAGCTCTCAATTACTCTGAAACAAATTCTAAAATCATACAGGCAAAGGTAGAAGTGAAATTGCTAATGCAATGGGCCAGATAAAAAAATAAAGCCATGGTCCTTAACTCAATTAAGGGTGGTTTTTTTTTGTTAAAATACAAAGAAAATGCACATGTTTTATTTAAATGATTGTACTTTTAAAAATACAGTGTTTTATGGAGTTAATTCAGATTTCTTAAAAAAGGGATTCACATTTTTCCATTTAATTTTTTTAGTATATTTTTTTAAATGAGAATTGCATCAAGTGTATATTTTTTTCTTCACCCTGTAAATTCTTTATCCTTCACTATATTTTGACAAAAATGGACTAAGGTCCATTTGGTTTCCAGTAATGTTTTCTTCTAGTTTTCAAACCTTAAGCTCTGATTTAGCTGTGCCAAAACAGAGCACTCTGCTAGATTTCTCCATTTTATCTTTTGTCTGTCAGGTTGAGGGAGAAGCAATCTAATTCCAAGTTCCTCCTATTTTTCTCGTTCATCTTGGTTCAGCCTCTTTCAACATTTGCTTGGTTATATCAATTTTGATCTGGTGATTGTCTCTTTTCTGTTTGGTTTTATTAGAAGCAATCCCATTCCAGGTACAGCCCGTTTTCCTGGCACAGCAAACCCTTACGTTGCTTTAAGTTATGATAAGAGGAAGCTGGATACCCAATTTGGTGGTCCTGGATCCTACCATTTCAGAGGCGTTCTTGATCAAACAGACTCTCTAAAATATATAGTAGAAAACAGAACAGAGTGCTTACAGGGAGGAAAAATTGAGCCTGTGTATGCAGATAATGCCAGATCCTGCGTTTTGTTATGCTGAATGGCATACGTGGTTAATTTTCCTGGTGGCTTCTGGTTGCCACCTGTGTCCAAGCCTTATGTGTAACTCTTCTTTCTGCAGATAATTGAAGGGGATCATTATTACCATTTCAAACACCGAGGCATGGTGCAGAAATCCCTGAACAGACACTGGGGCTGGCATGTGCATCTGAAAAGAGAGCCCAAGGTGACAAGTGTGATTTCTGAGGGAAGCACAAAAGAATTGCAGCTTGCTCGAAAATGTGCTTGTGGGATGTTAGGGCTAGCAGGAGCTATTTGTATGCACCTCGTTTGGCCGCCTGCATAGCACAGGCTATGTCTAAATACTGTGGATATCGTTGGCTCCCACAGTTATGTGTAAATACTGCTGATCAGGCACCCATTGAGTGGCATTGCTGTGCTATCAAACCAGCATGTTGTCTTGAATTCAGGGCCCCACCTACCCATCCCTGACATCTGCTTCAGATGAAAGCAAAAGAACTAATAGCATGTTACTATCCACTGTCTGTTTAGTGGAGGGGCTTCTTTGGTCCCAGCGGATAATCAGATCTGTAGCCTGAGGACCACTCGTCCTTTTAACACGAGCGATTGCAAATGTTATTTTTCCTAGCTCTCGAGGCAAACCTTGGATGTATTTTAAAGATCTCCTCCTTCATTTGATACCCCGTCATTTAAAATGTCTGTTACAGACTTCGGAACTAGGAAGCAATAGAGCATCTTTTCTGTTAGTATTTTGCCCCCACAGATGAAAGCATCAGGACGTGAGATCTACTTCAATGGCTACAGAAAACCTCCAGGTGTATGATTAAAATAGCCATTCCACCAAGCTTGGAGGTGTACTTGGTATGGGAAATGTACAACGGGAGGTGAAATCCGTCACTGGGAGTAGACAGACGAAGAATGAGCAGCTTTCCCTGGCATTAACAAGGGTGACTTCTCTCCATCTAGGTCCACTGGTTTGAACAGCAAACACTGAAGAGGCGAACAAAAAGAACCATTGCTGTAGTGCCAACAGATCCTTGGTTCCATAAACAGTGGTACATGGTAAGAATTTATATGGTTACCTCTTCCTGGTACCCGGATCCTCCTCTCTACTCCGCTACCGTATCCTCTTGTTTTAGTGGGTGGCAAGGAAGTGTTCTCTAGTGGTTAGGGCAGGCAGCTGGGTGCCAGAGCTTCCTGGCTTCTGCTCTGATTGCTTGAGGAAGTCACGTCACCACTGCATGCCCTAGAGGTAAAATAGGGATCATATTGATAATAAAGCAGACCAATATCTATCACTGGAAGTTTTTAAGAGCAGGTTAGACAGTTACCTGTCGGGGTAGGCAAATACTGGCCTGCAGACTGGATCCAGTCCCATAGGGGTAGCCCTTGGTGGATCCCCACCGCTATATTTACCTGCGCCTCGCCAGGTACGGGTGATTGCCACTTCTGTTGGCCACAGATCATCACTCCCAGGAAATGGGAGCTGTGGGAAGTGGTGTTCTGGTCCACGCCACTTCCCGCTTCTCCCATTGGTTGTGTTCCTGGCCAATGGGAGCTGCGATTGCCGGTACCTGGAGAGGTGCAGGTAAATATAGCAGTGGCAGCCTGCCAGGGGGGACCTCAACTGTGTTATTGCCCACCCCTGGTCTAGATAGTACTTAGATCTGCCTTGAATGCAGGGGATTGGACTAGATGGCCTTTTGAGGTCCCTTCCAGTCCTACAATTCTATGATTCTTAAATGAGACTTGTAGCTCACAGTCCAGAGGGGACCACTGTGCTCGGAGCTGGTGTGTTTATTGTTTCAGAACAATGACGTCCATCCAGACCTGAACATCCTCACGGCTTGGAGCAAGGGGTACACCGGCTTGGGTGTGGTGCTCTCCATCCTGGATGACGGACTGGAAAGGGACCACCCGGATCTGTCTGCCAACTACGTAAGATCGACCTGAGACTGCCCGGGCATCTCAGTGCTGCGCCCTCCGCAGCCAAGTAGCTTGGGATCAGTCAGCTATAGCCCATTGCCAGGGCCAGATTAAGGCATGGGCTAGCCAAGCAGCTGCCTGGAGCGCCAACCTATGGGGGGCGCCTAATGGCAGCTATAAGGGGCGCTGTGCTGCACACACATTATAGTTACCATCATGTGCCGTGCACCCAGCTCCCGGATTGCGGGCTGCAGGGCGGGGGCCGCGTTAACCTCCGCAGCGCTGGCCAGCAGCGCCCTTCCCCCCGCGGCCGTGGGGCCCTGCACGACCAGACGGGGCAGCCCCGGGCTGCGTGCCAGCGGCGGTAGCTGGGCTGGGCTGGGCAGAGCATGTGCGTCCTGCCGCCGCCAGCTCCACGTGCCCTCCCCCACGTGCCGGGCGGGGGCGGGGCTGCACATGAGCCCTCCCCCAACCTGGGGCGCAAGTAACCTGTCTGCCCAGGGCACCGGAATGGCTCGGTCCAGCCCTGCCCATTGCTTCTTTTCAGCCTATTCCCTGCAAGGGAGAGGAGCAGCTGGGAAAGGACCTTTAGTCTGGGGTGGCGGGGCTCAGCTCTGAGGACCTCAGCACGTTGGGTGGCTGGATTGACAGCAAGGGAAATATCAGCAGTTTGAAATGGCTCCGATAAAAGAAATGCCCAAGCCCAAAGAAACACGAGATATCATTAGAGGAAGCTGCATCCCCGCGCATGGCCAGAAACCCAATGGAGAAAAAAGCAACTGAATCTCCTTAATAAGTGATCATTTATAGTAAACCTTGTATGTCTTCTCAATAGCACCGGTCTTGAGTTGACTTCTCCTTCCCAGCCACAGAGACAGCATGGACTAATGGTCAGAGCACTGGGATGGGATTCAGAACACTGGGCTTCTATTTTAGCAACCGACTTTTTAATCTCCTTGTGCCACCATTTCCCCGCATCTAAAATGGGGCTAATGACACCAACTTTCTTTGTAGAGTATTAGATAGTCTAACACTCCAGCCAATGCTCAGAGTAGCATCAGTTTAGCCCAAAGTGTGATTCTAAGCAGCCCTTGGCAAGCCAGGGTAAGTTGGTGTAGGACTCTACGTGGATTTAAACCAGTTTTCTATCCGTGTAATTTGAAGCTGATAAAACTGGGCTTAGCGGTCTACAGAGCTGCGCTGATTGAATCCAATCCTGTTCAATAAACAGCTTTTACATTAACCCAGCACTGTTGGTGTGTGTGCAGATAAGATCTTCATTCTTGATGGCTGACCGGGAAGGGGCAGAGGGCTGCTCTGTCTGAATATCACTGAGGCAGTAACCCAGTGGACTGAGCGTAGGGCAAGGGGCCGGGAGGCCATGTTCTAATCCTGGCTCTGCTACTGAGTAGCTTTAGGTAATCCCGGTTGTTCTGTCCTTCCAATAGGAGTTAATAGATTGTTAGGACAGAAGCAACGGCTCATCTCGTTTGCCCTCCAACACTGGTCATAGGCTTTCCCGGGATTAACACCTGGGATATTGCTTACTAGTGCTCCACGGGAGCACGTGCAAACACTTGTGAAGAGCACTCACAATGCAGAATGCTACCCAGAGGCTGCTGCTTTGCCTGGCGGGGGGCTTTGTTTAGGCGTTCCAGAAAATGTCTGCTATCCCCCGTAACTCAGACTCACTTTCTAAAGCAGTAATAGAGATGTAGCCATGTTAATCTTTGTCTTACTGAAACAAAAGACAGGCTTATGCAGCACTTTAAAGACTAACAGGATGGTTTATTAGGGGATGAGCTTTCGTGGGCCAGACCCACTTCCTCAGATCAAATTATGGAAGAAAATTGGCACGACCATATATACCAAAGGGATACACTCAAAATATAAAAGAAGGGGGGGGGGGGGAGGTATCATTAGCTCATAGACATTAACCTCCCCCCTCACGCCCCCTCTGTTCTATAATCTGATTTGTCAATTTTATATGTGTTCACTTTTTTTGATAGTATCCCTTTGGTCTATATGGTTGTGCCAATTCTCTTCCACAATTTGATCTGAGAAAGTGAGTCTGGCCCACGAAACCTCATCACCTAATAAACCATCCTGTTAATCTTTAAAGTACTGCATAGTCCTGTCTTTTGTTTCTAAAGCAGGGCCTTCTCACCCTCGCATTCCCTCTTGCTTCAGGATCCCCTTGCGAGTTACGACTTCAACAGCAACGATCCCGACCCGCAGCCTCGTTACTACCTCTGGGACGAGAATCGGTGAGTTCCTGCAGCAAACCGGGGAGGAGCTGCTGCTGTCCGGGGGATCCGGATCTGAACCCCTTGCCCGGGGGATTCTCTCTCTGATGGCAAAACTCATCACCTGGGTCCTCCTGATGTGTCATGAGGTTCACGCCTCGCATGCAGCGACAGGCGGAAGTGGACTCTGTCCCGGCCCAGTGAAAGGCTGGTGGTACCAAGCAGGCGTGTTCATGGAACGGAGCCAGATGGTTCTTCCTACCTCTTTGCGTCTGTTTCCTCTCACAGCAGGATTGAGTCCCTTTCAGGCCATGACCCCAAACAGCGTCTCCGCTGGAGTAAAGATGCTACGATAGCGCTGTCGGTCTGGCAGGCTCAGTGTAGGAACACAGGACACTACGTAGCCCAGAGAGCCCAGGACCTTGGCTCTCCAGCTGAGTCAATTAGGAGGGTCTGAACCTGACTTCTGGCCCTTCCTCCTCTCCCAGGCTCTGTCTGCATTACAGGCTTCTTGCACAAGAAGCTTTCTGTGGAAGAGATCTTCTGCAAAAACGTCTTGCACAAGAGCACGTCCACACTGCAAAAGTGCATCCAAAAAGCAATACGCTTTTGTTCAAGAGAGCGTCCCGTCTGCATGGAAACTCTGATTGCTGTTTACAGAATGGCCACCAGGGCACCGATGCTTTTTTCAATTGTCTCTTTTTGCACCAAAAAAACCCGTTCCCCGTCCACACACACCTTTTTGCGCAAGAGCTCTTGCACGAAAAGGAGTTATTCCTCCTAGAAAGAGGAATACCTACACCGGAAAAACCCCTCTCCTCTTAAACACACTTGTGGTGTGGACGCTTTGAGTTTTTGCAGAAAAACAGCTGTTTTTCTGCAAAAACTCTGTAGTATAGACATAGCTCCAGTGACCAAAGGCTATGCCACCTGGGCCATTGGGCGGGGGGGGAGGGGGTGACCGCTGGGTGATTTCGGTGGCTCTCTGTGTCCTCCCACCGACTGCCCCACTTACCTCGACTTAACCGTGACCCAGAAGCGACCCCCCCCAGGTAACTTAAGGAGGGACCGTCCCTGCTGTAATGGGATGTTCCAGGGAGAAAAGAGCTGCTGGTCAGGGTTGGCATGGCGAGGCGTCGCACAGGGCGGGAATCTGGCTGGCCTATATGGCTGTGGTGATTCCTCTCTGTCCCTGTCCATCAGGCATGGGACGCGCTGTGCCGGAGAGGTGGCAGCTGCAGCCAACAACAGACTCTGTGGCGTTGGCGTCGCCTACAATGCAAAAATCGGAGGTAAGCAGCCTGCTTCCCTGGAGTGACGCTTCTCAGGTAGCAGGGTACCTGGGAAGGGAGCCCCCAGACCTTGCCCAGAGCGTGGGGGAGAGGGGGTGCACAGCTCCAGAACCGGGGCCAGGCTGTACTGCATGAGCACAGTTTCGCTGGCATCTCAAACCGAGCTCTTGGATCCACCCAGCCGCAACTATCCTCCGAGGCAGCACCGGCTAATGGATTCAGCACAGCACTTGAAGGCAGGAACTGCTGAGCTCTGAGTCCAGCTCTGCCGATTACGCACTGCACGGTTGTGGACAAATCCGTTAGGGCCTGATCCATGGGTGGTGGGTGGAGGTCGGGCTGGGGGAAGCAAGCCCTTAGCCCCGTCCCCTTCTGCCCTCACAGGAGCCAAGCCCCTCCCACCACAGGGACAAACCTTCAGCCCCCCCATGGGAGCCACCCCAGCCTGGAGCAAGGCCCATGGCCTGACAAATTGATTTTTTTGCAGCAGGAGCAAGTGGCTCCCTGTCCATTTGCAGCCAGTGGGAGTAACAGGTGCTCGCTAGATCTGAAAATTAGATCCCTTCACCCCTGTAAAAGAGTCAATCCACCATCCCTGCCTCCCCACCCTGTGGAGAAGGAATTGATCCTTGCCAGGGCATTGTGCTGAGTGCGCCTGAAGCTGGAGCCTCGCACAGCACTAGAGGGAGCCCTTAGCTGCTGGAAAGGGATCAGTGGAGCCCTGCGACTCCGAGGAGATCCGCCCTCTAGCTGCAGGTAGCTGCCTCTGCCTGTCAGAAGAGCTGTTGGTTAGGATGAAACAAAAGACAGGACCATGCAGCACTTTAAAGACTAACAAGATGGTTTATTAGGGCCCTCTAGCTGCAGGTAGCTGCCTCTGCCTGTCAGAAGAGCTGTTGGTTAGGATGAAACAAAAGACAGGACCATGCAGCACTTTAAAGACTAACAAGATGGTTTATTAGGGGATGAGCTTTCGTGGGCCAGACCCACTTCCTCAGATCAATATGTGGAAGAAAATCAGCACAACTATAGATACCCAAGGGATACAATCAAAAAAATGAACGCATGTGAAATTGACAAATCAAATTTTAGAACAGAGTGGGGGTGAGGGGGGAAGGTTAGTGTCTGGGAGGTAATGACATTAGGGGTGAGAATTGGGGAAGCTATCTTTGTAATGGGTGAGATAATTAGAGTCTTTGTTTAAACCCATACATAAAGGCTACGTCTAGACTGGCAGGATTTTCCGGAAATGCTTTTAACAGAAAAGTTTTCCGTTAAAAGCATTTTCGGAAAAGCGCGTCTAGATTGGCAGGACACTTTTCCGCAAAAGCACTTTTTGCGGAAAAGCGTCCGTGGCCAATCT